TCTTTCTTTGTTTCTGAGCTAATTTCTCTATGTTGCTCTAGTTCTTCCTATGTTCTCGGAGGTTAATGTAAAATTTCTATGAAAAAATTTATTAACCGGTCTTTTAAGTGTTGTGGAATGAACTAGTTGATTATACACAGATACTGCTCTTTCTAAAAGTTCTTCAAAATTTCTGTATCCACCACTCTTTTATGCAGCGCATTATTTTGGTTAATGTAGAGTGTAACCTTTCCATTTGTCACTTAACTTGGCTTTTGTATGAAGGAGTAGTGTAAACTTCTATTCCTAACTCGTCTTTCATGGTAAATTTGAAAGAGTTTTCTATAAAAAATTGTTTCTTTCGAGAATTTGTGTTTTATTTTCAGTTGCATTTTTATGTGCTCTTAGATGTTCATTTCTCCTCTTCTTGTTCGTTACTAATATCTTTAACTAATTTTTGGATATATCGGCCTTTAATATTACTAAAGTGGATAGGATAGATATCTTATGCCTGTCTCTTATACACATCTAGATGTGTATTAGTAAAGTGGATAGGATAGATATCTTATGCAGCGCATTATTTTGGTTAATGTAGAGTGTAACCTTTCCATTTGTCACTTAACTTGGCTTTTGTATGAAGGAGTAGTGTAAACTTCTATTCCTAACTCGTCTTTCATGGTAAATTTGAAAGAGTTTTCTATAAAAAATTGTTTCTTTCGAGAATTTGTGTTTTATTTTCAGTTGCATTTTTATGTGCTCTTAGATGTTCATTTCTCCTCTTCTTGTTCGTTACTAATATCTTTAACTAATTTTTGGATATATCGGCCTTTAATATTACTAAAGTGGATAGGATAGATATCTTGTAACATACCCAGCATTTTTTCTTCTGTATGAATTCCATTTATAACGGATAGGTTAAGGTATCGTGTCATGGAAGAAACCAATAACTGTTCCTTGTACTCTGGTTCTGTAATTATATGTCTAGGAACTGTTGGAAAAATTATTTTAAATTGATATGAAGATATTTCGTCAATCTTGGAAAAAATTTGTTTTTTTGAAAACATTAATTAGAACTTCTGTACGAGGGATTAAATTATGACGTGAGCTTTTAACGCTATTAATCGTAGGTGTGAGTGAGTTTATTTTTATTGGTATCCTTGAAAGGGCGTCTGCAAMTACATTTGTTTTACCAGGTTCGTAAGTTAGTTCGTAGTTATATTCTTCTAAAATGGCTTTCCATTGCTTCAATTTACTCGTACTATTAGTGTTCTTATGGCACATATCCAAGTGCGATCTTTGATCAGCCATCTAAGCTAACCTAACTGTTGTAAGATTAATTCACGCAAGCGGTTTCAAATTCGTAAGTACATAAAATTTTTAAAATATTATAAATATTATTAAATTAAAATATTTTTACGCTTTAATTAGTTGTTGAATGCGTTAAAAGTAGGGCTCTTAAAATTACTCGGATAAGCTGAAAACCGGCACAATTCCAACCTCTTTGGCGCCGTTGGAGGTTATAGGTACCGCAAACGCTTAGAGACATTAGACTTTAAAATTGAAAAATTTCCGAAATTCGAACATTTCGACATGCACAGTTTTACGGTAAATGTTGACGMCGAACCCGCCCAATTTCTTTTGCTACGTCTGTATCGGCAGAACAATCCTTTCTTTTCCTCTTTTTCGAAGTTTTAATTCGCACGCAGCTAAACACTAACCAAAAAAGTTGCACACGCTCTCTCCTTTTGCGACCGCTTAGCAATACAGACGTGGTAAGTGTTTGTCCAATTTGTTATTTTTTAAATACTTTTGTTTTTATTTAATATTTCATGGAATCATTTGCGCCGACCATTTCCTTACGGCCAACCACAACTACGGAACGAGCGAGCACCGTGCTCCACCACCCGAATTATCATTGGTACTTCGAGCCGGATAACAGGTAACAAGTTGATTTTTTTATTTAAAGTGGAAGTGTTTAATTTATTTAGCAACACGCAAGTTACAGCCAAACATATTTTGGACTTGTGCTCTGCAAGCTATAAGGCAATAGATTGGTTAATTTGTGCATACGTTATGTACAAAGCCAAAACTTATTTTTGGCACAAACTTCAGGTAGTATTGTACTTCGTTTAAGTACAACAATAAATACACCTGGCAAATGCACTGATTATTCCGCTTTGTAAATAACCACACACACTGTTACCCGAAAAAAAAAATTATAAATTTCTTGGGCGCACAAATATCGTCTGGAGCGTCTCTCAGTTTTTTGTTTTTTATTGTGGTTAATTTGAGTCTAGTCGCTCAGCTCTGCCTTTCCATATATTGCTCGAATAGCAATAAAGACAAGCAGCAATAACGCAGCTGTATTTTCGCGAGTGCAAACAAAAAAAAAAAAATACAAAATTATAAAAGTGAAGTGAGCGACGTAACTAAGCAAAGTGAGAGCAGCACAGGAAGAGCAGCAAAGACAAAGCAGCACAGGCCAGGCAGCAAAGGGGGAATAGCAAAAGCAAAGCAATCCCAGAAGGACAGCAACAAACAAAGAGTGTAGTGGTGAAATCAAAATAGTTCGAAAATAACCCMGTGAACAAAGTGAAAGTGATTACTTGATAAATCAAATAAGTGCCTGTGAATTTTTATCTGAATTGTATTCGGTTTTAAATAAAGCAATTATGCACAAATCAATTTTKTTTGTGTACACATCCGAGGCGTGCAAATGCATTGGGACCCAGCAAGCACATACAAATTAAATTTGAAAAAATACTTTGAGAAAATACTTCACTAAATTTGCAAGTGCAAGTAYAAGTGCATTGGGTCGATTACCCAGCAAGCACATTCAAATTAAATTTGAGAAAATAGTTTACTAAATTTATAAATTTTTTTTGTGCCTTCGAAAACTCACGCTTCGCTAAGAAACAACGCACTACTAATTTGTAGGTTGCCCATGATTAGTTCTATAACTTTTGAACTTTTTGCAACATATTTGCATATATTTTTTATATTTTAATTTCAAAGTTTTAGATCCGATTTTTGCAGCTCCGTTTCAATTTTCGAACACATTGGAACCCATCAGAGCATTTATCACAGCTGCAGACGCTCTACTGGAGTTTGTGGAGCCTTTTACTCCAACAGCAAACAACCAAAGTGCCTACTCTCTTGAAGTACAACAAACTGAACTGAAATCTCTGTGGGCAGAGGTAAAGTCAGAATACAAGTTGTGTTTGCCAAAGGTGGATTCCTCCGAAACAAGGTCAATTGATGACATTAAGCTTAAATATTCAAGCTGTTACCACGCTTATGTGTGTTGCGYGGCCTTGATSKGCGAACACATGCACAACTTCGCGGCGTTCAACCAAAGCCCATTTTAAAATTCAACCGTGATTCAACCTGAACGGTTACAACAAACTGTAGAACCCATGAGGTACTCCATCAACTTACCGCCATGTGATACCGAAATGCGAATGGCGATGTTTTATAATGGCCCTCATTTAGGAATTTATTTGACGCCATTTATGGGAATAACCCAAGGCTATCTCCGGTAGAAAAGTTATTCCATTTGAAGTAAAAAACGCGAGGTGAGGCAAAAGCTATCGTTTCGAAAGCGCCACTGACAAATGACGGATTCGCATTGGCTTGGAATAATTTGTTGTGTAGATATGAAAACAAGCGAGTGCTTGTCAACAATTAAATTATTATTCAAGCTTCCGCACATTTCTACAGAATCTGAGACCGAACTCAGAAATTTACAGCGGGAGATAAATAGCTGCATTTCAACTTTACAAATGCATGGCATCAATGTAGATAGCTGGGATGCCATATTTACGTATTTGAGTTCTATYCGACTATCGGACTATACACTGTCGCTTTGGGAACAATCTCTGGATTCGGATTCAGAGATCCCAAAAAGTGTTGAGTTAGACAAGTTTCTATCTAACCAAACGGGTCAAAACGCTTGAGAGAGTATCAAACCTCAAAGGCGAGTTRAATACTCAACCTAATATTGAGTCGGCTGATGGTCGACGTCGGATACCAACCTTGCAGGCAAGGATTGGATCCAAGCCCATCAATTCCCACGCCAAGACAAACAATAATAAATGTAAACTGTACTCATCTCAATCGCACATTTTGAAAACTTGTCAAAGATTCATTGAGATGCAGCCTAAGCACGGTTAAATGCTGTCAGAAAACTCCACGTCCGCCTTAACTGTTTATCAGTAAAAAATGTAAACAGAGACATCACTATATGATTCACCGGGATCAGAGTGAGGAAATGGGTTAAATATCCGTTAGAACAGACACTACTTAGATTTCTACTAAATCTCATGTGGCCTCTATTAAGGCCATGGTGACCATATGTCACAACGAGAGCACCTTCACTGTCAGAGCTCTGATTGATTCGGGATCTGAAGCAACCTTCGTAAGGAACAGTCTTCAGAAACGCTTTTATCTGACAAGGAAAAAGGTCAGCGCGCGAGTTTCACGATAGAATAATACCGTATCAGGACGAGTTCAATCGTTATGCTCATTTACAATTGGCTCGCCAAAATACTAAAAGTGAAAGCGTTGGTACTGCCAAAATTGACTGAACTGCTTCCATCCAGATTCAATGGTAAAAAGGTTACCCAATATCCCCTTAGCGGATAATAATTTCTTTAGGAGTCAAAAGGTTTACTTATTGATCGGAGTGGATCTTTACCTAAAAATCATACTAAATGGGGTAAACTCAAAAATCTTCGGATCCCTCGTTGCACAACGTACAGTGTTCGGTTGCATTTTCCGTTCCCTCCGAAGAAACGAAGATAAATGGTAAAGTCAACCTACAAAATTCAGCAATAACTAAACAATTAACACAAAACCACTTGTGTAGTAAAAATAATACTAATTTTTTATTTATACAACAGCAGCAACAACCGTCCCATCAACAGACTATACTGCAACAGCAGTCGCCAAGACATCACCCATAATAATCACCACATCATCCAACAACGCCCCAACAACAAATGCATCAACCATATTAACAGCAGCACAACCACCAGTTGCTAGGCGATCCGTTTGTTAACGGCGACACAAGATTGCAACAACAGATTTCACAATTGGAGTCACARMCACCGCCGACATCACAGACGCAGACAGCGATTCAGTCACAGTTGCAGACACAGACGCAGCAACAGCCATTACCACAACAGCATCAACAACAACAACGGCAGCAGTTAACGCAGCGTGAAGCACAGCTGCCGATAACGCAGCCGTCTATGTCTCCAGCGCACATTTTTTCACCCAAGGCGTCCAGCCTAATGGTGACAGCGCAACAACAGCAACTTCAGCATCAATCGYTGCAAATCCAGCAACAGCAGCTGCATCAGCCACCACAACAGCCCCCAACACCGACATCAACACCCACACATCATTTGACTAACATTCTGAACGAAACAGCCATCTCGAACAGCTCTTCCACATTGGCCGTAGTGGGTAACGACAGTAACAACAGCAGCAGCAACAGTTCGACCAAAAGAATTGTCAACAATCAGCCCACCTCAGTGCATGATGGTAACATGCAAAGGTGTGACCAACGATGCCTCTCCCGCATACCACACGCCCAAGATCGAGTCAGACTCGAGTCGTCTCAGTGACATTATCCAGACTGAGCGGAACGCCATTCGTTCCCCCGGCCACCTCATCCGAAGCGAAGGCGTGGACGAGACACTCGTCGTCAAGCAGATGCACATGGCATAATATCGGCGCAATAAAGTGCACTGCCTGCCAACGCCTCTCACATTTACCGCCTACCCAGGATCGAGTTAGACTCGAGTCGTCTCGCCGACCTGGGAAGGTGGTGACTTCTAGGCAAATAGGCGACATGGCAATGACTGACTGAGACTCAATTCATCTCAGCGGCATTTCCCGGACCGAAMCAGATTTGATTCGTCTCGTCGGCTACCCCATCCGCAAAGAAGACGTGGAAGAGACAGTGCTTGAGCCAGTTAGTTGACTTAGTTTTAAGTAATTTATTGTAAACTACATCGGCAGAGCAATCTTTTATTTTCCTCATTTCCGAAGTTTTAATTAGAGCGCAACTAAACACTCACTAAAAAATTTGCGCGCGCTCTCCTTTTGCGACCTCTTAGCGATGCAGACGTGGTAAGTGTTTGTCCAATTTGTTATATTTAAAATGCATATATTATATGAAACCTTTTGTTTTTATTTAATATTTTGTGGAATCATTTGCTCCGTCCTTTTTCTTACGGCCAACCACAACTACGGAACGAGCGAGCACCGTGCTCCACCACCCGAATTATCAGTAAACATTTAAACAAAATCAAAATTTACACTTTTTGCAGATTTTATATGTAAGAAATCTATATTTTAAAAATTACTTTTTACACTCGTAGTGAACATCATTTATGTGCTAACAATTTTGAGGAAATGAAGCGCTGCCATATGATAATAAGCAAATACACCCAACTCTTTTTTTACACGGATTTGAAGTTACACGGTTGAAAAAAAAAAAACAAAAAAAAATTGTAAAAAATTTTAATCTAGTTTTCTAATTCATTGTCGTGTAATTATTATATTTATTTTTACCACACCTGGCAGCATTGCTGGAATGAACATACATAGTAGTAACTGGGGAATCCACACATTTTGTTCGCATGATATTTATATAAAATATTGCTTAATTAAAGCTTTAAAAATTAAGTTTTAACCCTTACTACAGTTAACAAAATGTCCAAAATTTAAAAGATTCGTAAAGGCAAGCCATTTCTTTTGAAGTAAAATTAAAATTCTTGAACTATCTGGCAAGATGTGAAGGTTACCACATCTGCGGACAAGACTTTTTGTCTTAAAGGGAGCTACTGTCAGGACCATTAAGAACAATAAGAATAAAATACGGAAATCTGTCGAAAGAGCCAGTGATGATACCGACTTTAGACCAGTTCGTCGGTAACAATTGTGTTTATTATCAAGTAGCGACAATTATTCGTAGCTATTCCAATATTTTTTCTATATTTCTACATTATRATTGTATTATAATTTTTGATGATGACACTCATCACTCAGCTAAGTCATTCTTTTTTTTGGCTAAAATATAACAAAATAAAAGTGGCATGTGAAATCAAATATACAAAGTGAAAAATGTGAGAAAAATTTATTAAAATATTTTGAAATATTACGTGTTCTTAATAAAAATTTTTGAATTTCTAATCGAGAATATTTTGAAAAATATAAGTGTTAACAACCCTATTTTTACTTATTACTCCTCTAGAGAAGATCTCCTATCCTCACATACCCCATTTATACCGAAATTCGTTTCTTTTTTTACCCGACCGCCAAAGTAATCGGAAACGTACCTGAAACCGATAATTTAAAATTATGTAAGAATTTCTAGTGATCTGAAATACCAGCTGCGCACAACCTCAGTTATTATTACCTGTAGCCGCAATTCAGAAACAAAATTATAAAGAAGTCTTCATTTTATTTAATATTTCAGTCCTCGATTATCTCTCTCATTGAGCGGACGTGTTTTCTTAATCGCGGTTTTGCGTTTGTGCTTTACGCTTTGTTCTCATATTCCTTTTTGCATATAAGTGCACGTGCTTTCCTTTTACTTTGATCGTACGGTTACTTGCGTAAAAACTAGTGCATATTAGTGAATATTTGAATTATTATGACCCCAGGACCGCCTAACCTCGGGGAAAATAGTTTTGCTTGCCTCTAGCCCCAACCCCAAAAGGAAATAACTTACATACAAACCACTTGAAAAATTTCCAGAACGACCTCCAATTAAAAGAGATTTCCCAAAGTTTGTTCTAATACCTGCAGCAGATTCGAACAAAACACTTTCCAAATACTCCTGTTTCGCTGTGCATAAAAACTTATAATCAATAAGTAAAGAAGTTTTATCTATCACCGAATTACATGATTGTAATCTACTCATACTTGTAAAAAATCGCAACACCACTGAAAAATTTCTAACAGCAAAGAAATTAAATGGAATTTGTGATATTAAAGTTAAATTACACGACCATTTGAATTGCTTTAAAGATACAATCTACGCTCCATTTCTAAACGACATTGCAGAAGAATAAATTGTTGACAATTTAAAAGATCATGAAGTTACTTCCGTCTAGAAATTCACTAAAAATCTAGAAGGCAAACAAAGATCTAGGAGAGTGGTACTTCTTTCATTTGACTTTTATAAACTTCCAGAAAAAATCGAAGTCTCATGACATACAATGCGAATTAGATCATATTTCTCTAACCCCTGGAGGTGTCAAAGTTGCCAGCTTCTAGGCCACACAACGAAACGTTGCAACAACAATCCAGCCTGCCATATGTGCAATTTCCCTCCTCTTCTCAACTCGCCATGCAACTGCACCTTTTGTGCAAATTGCTCAGGCGATAAT